ATGGATCGCTGAGGCACACAAACCATCGCACCATGGTAAGGTCCAGCCTCATTGCGATGGGCACTCTTGAAGACATGGCCCACAACCGGAATCAGTGGAAGAATAGTGTACAGTATTGTATTGATCCAGAAGTTTAATACTTCAAACATTGAAAATGACAGAAAAAGAAAAATCGGCGTATGAAAAACAAACTAAAAATGTTTTGTTCTACTTTTTGTCAAAATGTTCCTTTCTTCCTGCGGTATATTAGCCGAAGTGTGTTGCTCACCTTCGACTAGTATGCCACGATGACTTTCACTTATCCACTAATCTCCACGGTTTTTGTTGGCTCTGTGCCTAGTTGCTCGACTGTTTAGATTACATACGTACATACATAGGCTGGCAAGCCGAAAAATGTCACTGGAATTTAACAGCTTATTCTTTGATGTGGTTAAAGTTATTAACCATATCAATGCACACACACTCGCAACACGCGCCTGTTTGAGCAGCTTTGTGAGGAGATGAACGCGGAACACATATGCCTTTTCTAGTACACAGAAATAAGATGGTTATCCAGCGGAGAATCGCTAACCAGAGTATTTGAACCACGAGAGTCATTGCAAAGATTACTCTCAGAAGAGAAGTCACCGCTGGCAGCATATTTCAGTGACAAGATATGGATCGCAAGACTGGCATACCTGTGTGATATATTCAGCCTGCTAAATGAACACAATCTAATCCCTTCAGGGGAAATGACAAGTTTTCAAGTTGGCAAACAAAGTAGCTGCATTTAAAGCCAAACTGGTGTTATGGGAACGGCGTTTGTACAGAGGCGTTTTGGACATGTTGCAAACATCAGCCGCGATTTTAGGCGAGACTGACCTTGAGCATTCATTCTCCCAGTTAGTGCAGGATCATCTGTTTTTGCTTTTAAAAGAGTTCGAGCGCTACTTCCCAACCACAAAAGACCTACGAAATGGGAAGGAATGGATCCGCGACCCATTTGTCCTCAAACCAGGCGAATCTAGCATATTTGTGAAAATAAACTGCTGGAGATTGTAAGTGACTCCGGCCTTAAAACTACATCCGAGGCAACAACTCTGCCGGTGTTCTGGATTACTCATTGCGGACTACCCTCAGATTGACACCATAGCATTTATATCCTTATTGCCATTTCCGGCAACCTATCTGTGTGAAGCGGGTTTTCTGCAGTGACAGCAACCAAAACAAAACAACCGAATAAGCAGGACATAAGCAACACACTTCGGGTGTCAAGGTCTCCTATTACAAACAGATGGAACAGTTTCGTTGCAGAGAAACAAGCTCACGGTTCTCATTGACTTAACCTTCTAGTGGTGTAACTGTATGTTCTTTTTAAGGCATGTTTAAATACAAGTAAATTAAAAGTGTTGCATCAAAACAGTCCGAAATATAAAAAATCAACGCCCCTCCCCCACAGCGAGCCGTGCTAAAATTAGCAAACACTGACCGGTTCGCGGCAATATAAAGATTGGGGACCATCGTCCTAGGCCTTAGGAACATCGTTAAAACTGACGCAACACCACTGCAGCTAGTCTACGGCTGCATGCTGCGGTGGCCCGGACAGCTGGTAGCACCAGCATTGTAAACTTCATCGTACGACTACGGAAGTTACACTGGTCAGTTGGCTCACCAGATGCGTGAGCTGCACCCGCCCGCTTCAAGGTTGCAGAAGACCCCGGTGTACGTGCCCGAAAAACTGTCTACTTGCTCACACGTACTGCTTCGCGTAGTCAGTGCGCGACAGCACTTGCCGTCGCCGTACATCAGACCCTTTAAAGTAATCAACCGTAATAGTGAGACATTTATGATGGACCGGGGGTGGTCGACGCGAAATCGTCACCATCGGCCGTCTGAAACCAGCTTTTATGGAGGAAACCACCTCGTCTACTTCGTCTAGCTATGCTTCATGCAACATTATAACTAACTGCACTGATTTTCATCATCCTAGTGCCGTCAAACCAGACCACGGTCCCGGTCTACAATCATCAGCCGTCCCGATATCTTCCGAGCCTAGCTTGTCGCCTTCTACGACCAGCCACTGTGGTCGAGAGGTTCGTAAGCTCGTTCATTTTTCCGAATATGTACAGTGTAAATACGTTTAGATTTGTAAATATTGTATACATATGCCCCGCTTTTTGTTGACCACCGTTTCATACGACCGTTATTTTTACGTGTTCTGTGTTCTCGTCCCTACATGCCAAACCATACTCTTCGATCGACTGGTCCTCACGAACAACGTTTTCCAGGATGGCCGCAGTCAAGGAGGATCCGGACGCCAACGCAGGTCGTTTCTTCGTGGAACGAGGGTCGGTATGGCGTGAAGCCATTCTCAAACGCACCATTTGGCAACAGCAGTGGTTGAGGTCCTGTCGACCTTCTTTCTGGACTGACCAGTTCTCTTTGAATCTCGACAAGCCCGCTCCAACGGCTTGCCAAAACGCATTCCTACCCTGCAAACAATAAATGGTTGGCCAGTAGCCAAATGGTCTGCACGTCTGACTTGTAATCATAGTCACCGATTCGAATTCGCTTAGGGGCGGGCATCCTCGCGGTATACTCAGCCCACGCGCAACTGGTCGTGATCGAGTGGCAGCGACAAGCCGTACAGCGTACAGCTGACACAAGCAAGAAATGGCACAACGGACTCCGATTTGACATGAACGCCCACTCATTCGTACTCGGCACGATTTTGCCCTACGAACCTCGACATTTTGGACACCGAAGGCTTCCTATGTTCAGCCTTCTAGGAGGGGAGCTCTGTAGCGCCCTGCAAGATAACAACTATTTTTTAAGTACAATTTCATTGCTGACCGATTGTACATTATTCTTGCTTGTTTTACTCTTCCTTACCTCCAGCTCGACACTCGTCTGCTCTGTAAGTGACCGCGCTAACGTTTGCTCCTGTCTTGTTTCATCCGCCCATGTCTTTTGTAGCCCACCGAATATAGTCTGCTGTGTCCGACTTCAATCGCTTTCTGATATGCGTGCTCGACCACGCGCACCATCTCGGACTAGTATTTACTAGTCTTATAGGCTTCCTGATTTCACGGCATTCATGATTTCCGTCATTGCTTATGGCAGATGTGGCAACGACCGTGCTAAACATCTGCTGGCATAGGCAGGTTTATTAACACACAACTTATGCTGCACGCATGCTAGATCCTCGATGATAAAACTAAAGAATAAGGGGAAAGAAAACGTCGGATACCTTAAATTGCACATAAAAATAGGTTCATAGGCTCTTCAGCATACCTGCGTATCACGCATTATGCAGTTGATGGAGAGAAGTCAGTTCGAGACTTGAACCGTTCATCGTCGTACATTGAGGATAGAGAATTGATCCAATGGGACGTTCAGGTTTCAATGCCGCAAAGAGATGAGACATACAAACAATTTCCTGACAAAGTTATATAGGTGTATACAAAAGAGAAAGTATGGAAATAGTCCGTATGCTCGTTTTAGTGAACAAAAATACACGTTTGACGTTGAGAACAGTAACAACTATCGCCCGAATTTAGTCCAAAAATGGGGAGTCTGGGCATCCGACGGTGCCAACAAGGTAGTTGACCACAGGTGGCTATGCGTCTGGCATCCGGAAGAGTCCAGAGAGGGAATGTGTACTTCTGATGAGTTCCAATGGGAAGTGATTTCCTTCTAGCGCTTCCCCAGATGGGAGTAGCCTGTATGATCGGATCCAGTTGCGACAAAACCACTTCAGACGTTTCAAATCGCAACCCGTCTTACTGAACCGACTTCATCTCAATAGTGGATATGTTATCATAACACGTGTTTAAGTTAAGCAATTAAACGAGTCCGTTTTTCAACAGCTGAGCAATGAGCTGCCGAACTAGAGAGAGCCGGAACAGCGGGGCAAAATGGTCCCATGCACCAATCTCCAAAGTTCAAGCCCCCTTTGTATACTCACATGAACGCCGGCCCATGTGCTCAACACACAATCAGTGAAGAGAAGCAACAAGTGAGAACCAGCATTTTCCGTTCACCCAAGCTTGCAGAACATGAAACGTAAGTTAAGAACTCCATCCCTAGAGTGGTTTATTGCCCTAACTGAAAGGACACAGTGACATCGTAGTTAGCAAGAGTTCACAGCCAGCGACGCACAAGTAGTACATTTGCTTAGGCTTTTCTTCATTATTTGTTTCGCGTATATCGCTGGTTTCAGGCCTTCAAAATACTATTCAGCCAGTAATTTATTTTAAAACCGCACGCATCAGATCAATTTGCTAAATATTGCTAACACCGATGGTTCGCAAGACTTTAGACCATCCACACTTACGTCGCAATATTGAGGCGCAGTGAAAAATCTGTTCGTTCAAAAATCGATCTAATTCGGGGTCTTTTCGACAAGGATTTTCAAATCTACTGAGATCATCCATGTAGGCTAATCAGCTGTAACGGCGGCTGAGTGTCGTTCGGTAGGTCAGTACGGCACCCGTAACCTGAAGATTTTCGATTCCCACGTCTCACTGCGACTCGGATAGCCTCCCCGCCAGTTTCATCAAACCGCTAACAATAAAATGTACGTGTGCTTGATCGATTTAGTGTTTGATACCCAGTAATTCACGAGAATGTTCAGGGGATATCCCTAGGCACGTAGTCAGGTTGCAAAACTGAATGAAACTTGAGACATACCATGTATCGTGAAATCACAATCAGGACGAAATAACAACATGTTACCAGAGACCGAGGCCTGAACCGTTAAGTAATTCACCACAGATGGTAATCTAACAGGTACGTCCTGTGTGTAGTAAAAATATGTACACAGTTAACCGCGATGGTGGTTAACCCGAACGAGAAAATCGTAATCCCCATTTGAGTGCAATACGAAAATTGTTTTTGGGGGCTGACAATAGGCTAACCGTTTGGCGAAAGCCGCATCATGTCGAAAGAGTAGCCTGTTGATCCGGTAAAAGGTGTGGGACGCCGCCTAAGCCACCACCTGTAGCACAAGAAACAGGAACGGAAGTAACAATTTTATGATAACAGAATAGAAAATGTTGATGCGATTATGCGGTGAGGATATTGGCGCCGTGCGTCTCGGTTATCGAGCGAATCTGGAAGCTGGAGGATAAAGAAAGTACATGGGATTGGAACCCTAAGCCATGTATGTGGGGCTAGGTAAAGACGTGTTCCAAACAAAAAAGCCATCCTGTTGTAACACAGCCCAGTTCCTTAGAAAGTTGCCTTAGCTGATAATTCATAACACAGACAATTCAATGAGCACAGTTAAATAAATTTTCCATGAAGTTCATTTGGAAAATTGTGCAGATAGACAAAACACCGAGCAATCACACATCATCGTTGCTTCACCAGTACCAAGTAGTACAACCAATAGAACAAGTTATAAACGATAAAGCATGCAGGAAACAGAAACCGACTGTATGCATCGATTTTGCTAAACGATCGTGGCTTAGCAGCCGGCTTCGGCTCCTTGGTTGGCAACAGTGCATCTGTCTGGGCAGTAAGGAGGTTATCTATGGCGGCCGAGTCGTTCGTATCAACCCGAAAGCGTTTTTTGCCACCACCACCACCACCGCCACTTTTGCATGGTGATGTGTGGTCTGAGAGAAGTGATAACATTCCTGATTTTGTCATGCGGACAGTCATGTTAGTTGGTGAGTCGGGCATCGGAGCCTTC